GAGGAAGACCCTCTATGAAGTGGATTGACTCAGTGACTGGGGTAATCGGGATGAGTGTGTTGGAGGCAATGAGATTGGCACAGGACAGAGCAGAGTTTAGGGCTGTTGTACATAGGGTCGCTATGAGTCGCAGGTGACCTGACGGCATATGACAACAACAACAACATATTGTTGTTAACGGGCACAGTTGCCAAATACTAGATTATTTTTTTTTTGCTAGTATAATAATTGTGAAAGTTCAGATAATGGGGTAGTATAGACTTTTATACTTCTATACCTATAGACTTTTATATAGTTAACGAGGAGTATTGTTGTTGTTAGGTGCTGTTGCATGGACTATGACACAGTGACCGTATGAACCACAGATCTGAACCTTGGTCTATCCTGTGCCATCCACACCCTCTCCACCACTCTAAGCCCATTGCTGTAGTCACTGCCAATCCATCCTGTTAAGGATCTTTTTCTCCTTCTCTGAACCTCTACCTTTCCCAGCATGAAGTTCTTTCTCAAGGACTGGTCCCTCCTTACAACAGGCCAGAGTCTGTGATGTGACGTCTCACCATCTAAGGAGCACCCTGGTTGCATTTCCTCCAAGACAGACAGATTTATTTGTTCTTTTGGCAGTCCATGGGATATTCAGCGCTCTCTGCCAATCCTATAATTCAATCTGTTCTTCAGTTTTCCTTGTTCACAGTCCAATTTTCCCATGTATACAAATTAAACGCAATGATTCATTGCTATCAAGTCAGAACCCACTGAGAGCTGACCCTCCAACAGGTTTTCGGAGGCTATACGTCACACAGGAGGAGACTGTCCATCTGTTTTTTTTCCTCCAGAGCAGCTGGTGGATTTGAACTGCCTACCTTTGGGTTGGCAGTGTAATGCCCTACAGTGACTTGGATCAGGTACACGTTAGTCTTTAAATGGATCTCTACCCTTGCACTTTTTCACTTTTTTAAATTTTATTTTACTATCTTTTGTGTGTGTGCCGTCAAATCACATCTGACTGGTACAGGAGAAGATTGTCCCTCCTTTTCCAGCAGAGCATCTGGTGGATTTGAACTATGCGCCTCTGGGATTGCAGTATAGCTTCTTGCCACTAGGCCACCAGAGCTCCCTTATCCTTGCACTTTTTCTTTTTCAAGAGCTCCCCAACAGCAGATTTCCCCATTAGCATGCCTTCTGATATCTTTTTTCCACTAGTTTATTTACAAAATTCTAATACAAATTCGAACAAATTATTTCAATTTCCCTCGCCCTCCCACTCATCAAATTGTACAACCCAATGATTAACCCCCCTTTCCCCCTGCACATCCACATCCCTCTGCTTCCAGCCTCTCCCACCCCTCCTAGATCCTTACACTCATTCTACAATAACGGTCTTATACAATATTTATCCTTACGAGACAGAGGTAGTTCACTCAGCATAATGCTCTCCAGTCCCTCCCAAATTAGGTAATAATCTACAAAGTTATTGCTCCTGCGTGCTGCATGGTGTTCCATTGTGTGAATGTACCATACTTTCTCAATCCATTCATTTGCGTTTGGACATTTGGGCTGTTTCCATGTTCTTGCGATGATGAATAATGCTGCTATGAACACTGGTGTACAAATCTCACAGAGGCCTTTTGATATCTTCACTGCCACAGCTGTGAGTGTTGATTGTGGATCCAAGTAAAACGAAATCAATGGTCACACACTATAAACATCCGACTAGCTGATATTAGATCTGAGTCATAAGAAAGGAACCCCATCCATCACTGAGGAATTGCCTGTGCTCTGTTCTTGGTGAACTGCCTTCACGTTGTGAATTATTTAATACACCTCATCATCTTTGTAATGCCCACCAAGCAAGTAAGGAGCTCTTTGCAAATGTGTCTGTGGTCCACCAAAAGCATTGGACCGCTTGCAAAGGATGCAGATAAAGGTAAATGATGCCTTTCAGGTGGGTACGTGCAAGAAGAGTGTGTAGAAGGCAAACGTGAGGAAGGGTCGGTTCTGCCGTCTCATCAGATTTACAGCGATCTGATAACCCAATCCTGGTTTATAGCAAAGGTGAAAACAGAGATCTCGCCAGCACTGAGAAAGAAGATCTACAAAATGCAGTCCATCCTTTGGACTTGAGATCCCCTCAGGACCAGAGACGGAGAGCTGTAATATCAGAGACTTTTTGAGACCACAAGATAAGGAAATGGCACAAGCTGAAACAGTGGCAACAAGGATGGCAGAGGTCAGAGAGCAGTCAGGAGAGTATGCTGTGAGTTGACTCAATGCTATTCTTCCTGGTGGTGCCTGAGTCCTGGAGAAGGACGTAGTGCCTAGTAAGAGAGTCAGTGAGAAAGAGGAAAGCCCTCAAGGGGATGGGTGGCACAGAGGTGTAACAAAGAGCTCATGTCATTGGGGATAATTTAAGTTCTGTGACAGAAAAAGGAAGGGAAGGGGAGGGGAGGGGAGGGAAGGGAAGGGAATGAGCAAGTCATCCTGCAGGGAGAGCTCAGGTGAGCTCTCTCCCTCCCAGCAGCCTCTCTGACTCCATGGCTGACCCGTGACTTGTGTAGCCTGGTTTGGAAGGCAGATTGCGGACATTATGGTCAGGTCAGTCCCTCTCTTGGGAGGGCGCTGTTGTCAGTAAGATCTAGAGGGACAGGGACCGTACAGGTGGGCAGAAGTGGTGAGGAAGCAGGAAATCAGAGTAGGTGGTGAAGACAGAGGAACTGGTGAGGCTTAGATTGAGAGG